TGGGTAAGACAATAGAACAAAGTGGAAAGGGCGTACTGGGGCTAAAATGTACAGCAGGGAAAGTGGGACAGGGAGATGAAAGGGAGAAATGGGGGAGGGGTGTCAACCAAAGTGAAAAATATGTGAAAATCCTGCTTGGGAACCTGTAACTTTGTAATCTAAAAATTAAAATTTAACTTTGAAATTAATAAAAAAAATACCAATTATACTGGCATGTAAAAGCTGGTGAAAATAGAACAGTGTCTGCAGTCCGTTGTACAGAACGGGACCCATGTTGGCTTCCTGAGTTTGTTGTTGTCTTATAGTTATAGAAGATGGCCATTGCCACCTGAGGAAGTTGGGCATGGGGTACATAAGGCTTTTCTAAAGATTGTTTTCTCAGATTCCTGTAATTTTAAAAGAAAGACTTAAAAAGCATTCCTAATGACAAGATCCTACTCCAGAGTTTACAATACATTATTTTGGGGTTCTGATTTTAATTTTTAACTTGTGTGTTTGTGTGTGTGTGTGTGTGTGTGTGTGTGTGTACCAGAAGACAATCTCAGTGTTGTTCCTCAGGTAAGGTCCACCTTTCTCCAGACAGGCTTTCTCACTGGCCTGGAATTCACCATGTTGACTAGGCTGGCTGGTCAACAAGCCCAATGCTTCCTCAGCTCTGGATTACAAGTGCACAAGACCACACTCAGCTTACACGTTAATGCTTGTAGAAATCTCCTCAGGTCCTCGTGACATGCCACCATAGTTGGGGTCCACTGAAGGAGATGATCTCTAAGTCCCTTTCTAGCCCTAAATATATCATCAATCAAGTTTATCAAAACCCTTCTTGAACTTGCATGTTCAATATGTCAGGGTGAGATTGTTTTAAGTTGGTTATTCTTTTCATGAAAACCTTCTTGAGTGACATAAGCTCCAGTCTCTGGCATGGTGACCATTCGCCTCTTCTACTAAGGCCTGGAGCTGCTGCTTCTTAAACGATGTCCTTGCTCATGACACCAACCTTTGCCTCCACTCGCTGGCTGTGTATCACTTCCTATGAGTCCTCTATCAGAAGTCCCTGGATTAGAAACTACTTACTTTGCATGGCTTTCAATTGAGAGGGTGAGTGTGAGAGCCCTCTGCTCTCTAATATTGACTGAAAAGATGGAGTTAACCAATAAGATGTGTGAGAGGAAAAGTTCAAACATAATGCACCAACATAGGCCTAGGTTCACAATCTGGGGTGGTTTGAAAGAAAATGTCCCCCAAAGGCAGTGACACTATTAGAATGTGTGGCCTTATTGGAGTAGGAGTGTTCTTGCTGGAGGAAGTGTGTCACTGTGGAGGCGGGCTTTGAGGTCTCATATAATGCTCAAGCCATGCCCAGTGAGACAGTCCACTTCCGGTTGCCTTCAAGATGTAGGACTCTCAGCTCCTTCTCTAGTCCCATGTCTTCCTGCATGCTGCCATGTCCCACCATAATAATGGACTAAACCTCTGAAAATGTAAGCCACCCCTATTAAATGTTTTCCTTTGTAAAAGTTGCTGTGGTCATGATGTATCTTTACAGCAATAGAAACCCTAAGACACAACAATCCAAAAGGAAACACCCCCAATTACACCTCTCACAGGGAGCCCACTTAAAGATGAATCCTAATTCTCCATGGAGATACTTGCCTTCTGGTGAGTCCTGTTTGCACAGAACTGACCCTTTATACAATCCCAGTGAAATTCCTTATCTTAATCCATAGCGGAAGTGACGATGCTCACTCTCAGCTTAACCCCTCCCCAGGATTCACATCTCCCCTCATTAGAACAATCCCAGGACTCTGATAACCTAACAAAACTCTTCTCAAAGCACTACTTAACCAAGACTACTCAATGGGAGGCAGGATGTGACTTCACTAGGAAAGCCCTAGGGGAGCTGTGGTAATCCACATCTAATTCATCAAGCTAGGGACAAAAAGGTGTCTCTTCTTTCCTCATTTCTCCATTAATTATCCAGGTGAGGGCTGATGGACACACACACACACACACACACACACACACACACTCACACACACACACACACACACACACTATACCTTCATATTTCCCAAAGCCCTGAAGGATGTTCTTCATCTATATTATTCAAGACAAGCTCTGCTGTTTGGGCCAGAATGCAGAGATTCCTGTTTGCAATGAGTCCAGTGCTTCATTTTCATGCAAAACTGTATTCAAAATTTTTCATATTTTTAGTTCCTGCATATTGCCAAAATCCTGTGGGAACATAAGGACAGAGGTTAATTACTCTGTATTTAAAGCACAGGGGTCTAAAATGGCATCCTATGGCCACATTAAAATCTACCTCCAAGGCTTTAAGATACTTTGCTGGCCAAGTCCTACTCACAAGCAGGTCATCTCCCCACTATTTGTAAGAGAAGGGGTGACATGGGGTCACTTTCTGGAGCAGTGTTACCAGTGTGTCATACTAGGGGTTAATTATGTAGGTTTAAGGATTTGGAAATGATGAGGCCATGTTTATTTTGATATTGATTATTCACAATGTTATTGGCTTTGTCCATAACCCAAAGTTTTAAACACATTAATCGTTCTAGATGGCTGAGTTACTAATAAAAATACATTTATCAACAGGCAGCCTCCTCTCCATCATTCAGTTGTCCTTGTATATCTACAGAGGGCTCCCAAATGTTCACCTGCAGACTCAGGCTAGCCACTAAGATGTCTGTGCTCTAGGTCATCCCTTGAGGTAATAGTTTACAAACATTTGTTACCTTCTACCCTCCCATCTTATCTCTCAGGTTCAAGAGTTGACCCTCAATTTAAGTTTCTTAAGGGCTTGAAAGTAAGTCTGTGCCCATCCTAACTGAAATTCTCACAGACCTCAGTTTTTAAAATTGAGTCCCCTTGTAAACTTTTCCTATGCATTCTGAAAGTACTTACTTAGCATTTGGTTTATATTGGCTAATATTTTCAGATGGTTCTAGAATGACAGTTCTATTCATTCATTTACATTTCCAACTATAATTTTATAAAACGTCTCTGTTGTATGAGAAGCCAGATAAAATGCAGCTCTAACTTTTCTGGTGATAGGTCAAACTCTTAAAAAGATTGTTCTTCTAGATATAATATATGGCGCATGTACCGAAGAAGGTTTGGGAGTTTGCACCACATCCTCATGTATCCTGTGTGTAAGAACTCATATTAGAAGTATAGTGACATGGGACAAGTTCTTTCATCTCGTCGACTTCAGTTTCATCATTTATAAAAATGAGGACAATAGTAATCTGATGCTCACATGGTTGTTTGCGGGGTGAGGAGATGATACACAAGCACAGGTCTACAGAAAGAACACAGAGCAAGTGAGTGATTCGTGTTATGATAATAGGTCCCTCCAGTGAATGACCAGGCACTGAAATGCAGCATAGACAAAGGGCTGGGATAAGCATGTATTTTGTAAAACATACAGATACCTGGCCCCAACCCACACTTACCCTGTCCTGCTTTCTCACACTGAGGCATTGGTATGTTGTTCATGTGTCCAGATGCATGCTGATGATGGTCCAGGTTGTCCTGTGCTGCTGGCAATGAGCCATTCAAGAGCTTCTCTCCGTGAGTTATGGCAGATGTGTAATAGGCTGCTATTGATCTGGCCCAAATCTAAATTTCTGAAGAATTCTTAAATATCATTTTAAGATGAAGTGATAATCTGTCTGTTGATATCTATACTAGCCTCCACACACCATAACACACACATGTGCATACATATGAGCATGTGTGCATAACTCTGAGAGAGAGAGAGAGAGAGAGAGAGAGAGAGACAGAGACAGAGACAGAGACAGAGACAGAGAGAACAAGAAAATAAGGATATCAGAAAATGCTTTGTTAAAGCTGGAAGGGAATTGATTCAGAAGGTACCAAGCTGATGGGGAAAGAGGAGGAGGAGGAGAATGGAAATGGAGGAGGAGGAGGAGGAATGAGGAAGAGAAGCAGGAATGGGAGGAGGGATGGAATCGAGGGCAGGGATATATTAGTGGCAACCATTGGGCAATGTTTGTTCCTCTGCTGTCTCTTGGGGACAGCTGCTGGAGATGGGATGGAGAGTATTAAGGGGCCTTGGACTGTATGAATAGGTATTTGTTGACTCCAGGCCAATATCAATTTAATTTCAAGCCATTAAAAGTCTAACTTTATTAGCACCTCAGAAAGGGAGCGATTGTTCCATTTTCACGGCACAGCTCTTCTCTGAGGCAGGCTAGAACTTGTCCTGTTTGCCCAAGCCTTAGTTAAGTCCCGAGGGAGAGGACAGATGGTGTCATTCTGAAAGCACTCTTGTCTTCTCACAAGGACAGGGCCACCAAGTGGCAGCCAGTCAGCTTCTCACACTGCCCTGGGGCCTTAGCAGTGCTTACACTTGACACCCTGCTATCTTGTGGACAGTTGGGTCCTTCCAGGAGGCCTGACAGAGCTGAAAACAGAGCTTTGAGCGGGGTTTAATGACTCCATAGTTCAGGAAAAGAGGATAACCACAAATCTGAACTCTGCACTGGATCTACTTTATGACAAATGTCGAGAGAAAGAAGATCAATATTTGTTGAGAAAGTTTACAAAACAGTATTTTGGAAATGCAAAAGAGTTATCTCAAGGCTAACGTTGCTGTAGGTAAAGTGTGTGCTTTTGGTCACATTAACATTCCATTGACTAATGCTGGATACAAGAGACCAGTGAGTCATCGCATCTTTGTCTGATGTTGCTCCAAGATGTACATCCTCGATTAGCCAAAGCAGCTTTCTCCTTTTTCAGCCTCTTAGCAAGACCTTCTCCTCAGTCCCATGGCATCCAGGGCATTTCATCATATTAGAATAGTTTTAAATGTACAACTAAGTTAGATGAAACTATAGTTCATTTATAGTAAGTGATTTCCTGACTAATTGATAATATTGAGATCAAATGATACTACTATTGCAAATTGAAAAAAAAAACCCAACGTATATTATACAAAGTTATTTATTAGTTTACAAAAGAGTTTGTTCGTTACACTGAGAAGCAAGGCATGGGGGGAATTCCACACAAACATTTTTAACAGTGAGTGTGTAAAATGAGGGTGGCACAAGACCAGGTAGGTTTGAGCGCTTCATATCGATTCCTACACTAGTGTCAGGAGGTTTAAAACTGTGAGATGTAAACCATATGTGGGATGTTTTGTGAATGGGTTGAATGTTAGTGTCATCTAGATGCGGTAGAGAAACAGATATACCCACGACACGTTCCAGTGTGGTTTTTTACTAACTGTAGCAGGCATCACAGCTTGTTTCCCTCTTATAGAAATCGCTGGTGGTGGTGGCGGCGGCGACGACGGCGGCGGCCGAGGGGGCAAAGTCCACATAGTCTGTGCTGGAGTAGGAGAAGAACTCTGTGGTTCTGAAGGCATCCAGATGCTCGGCTTCACAGGATGCACAGTAGCAGACGGAGGGGGTGGCCGGGGAGAAGTGGTTGTACTGGGTGTGGGAAGGCCAATGGTGGTGATATGGGTAGCCTTCCTCTGGGAGGCTGTGGTTTAGGGAATCCAGAGAAGGCGGAGATGAGTAATTCTCTGGAGTGTAGGAAGGCAGCTGAGCTGGTGAGTAGTTGCAGTCAAAGGAGCCAGAGAGACTGGAGGAATCCGAAGGCGATTCTGGAGTCTGGAGAAATGAAAACCAGGGAACAAAAAGCTTGGTAACTTAGACAGGATCAAAAGAACTGAGCAGTGTGGATTGAATGGTGCAAAGTGAGAAAATCAGGGGTAAAAATAAGCCTCAAGCCATCCACCCAAGTCCTTAGAAGTAAGCTCATCTGTTGACTGCGTGATTTCACGACACTACACCCTAGATTCCCCTTTCTCTTTCCCAACAATCAATTGCCTTGCTTCACTGCCTTCCTTTGTTAAGACCATACTTTGCAGGATGTTTTGCTCTTAAACCACAAAATCTCTCACTGTGTCTCGGGTCACCTGCACTTCAAATCCTGCTGCATGCCACAGTGTAAGCTGCAGGTGGCACCTTGGCTGTTTCTCTACACCCTTGACCATGAGGAGCCAGGTAAACACACAAAGGTAGAACCTGAGTTCTCAAGGGCCCAGATAAGAAACTCCCTCCCCCATCACCAATGTATCCCCCCTAGCTGCCAAAGATCTACCACATCTTAAGCAAGTTTACAATTGTCAGACTTGGAAGCTGAGCAGAAACTGGGTGCTATTTGTCCCTGAAAATATGCACATTCTGTGGAGTTAATTTTCCATCTTCTCTAAATTCAGTTTTCCCATTATATGGACTTTTGACAAACTAAAAGAGAAAATATTCACATTTCTTTTTAAAAGGAAGAAAACCTTACATTTAAAACTTAAAAAAATTATAAATCTCTAAAACATAAAAACAGTCTTACTCATTTTAAAGAGAACACATTTCTGAACATTTGAGATCCATCAAGAAGAGAAAATCTGAATTCTTCAAAGACTAGAACATTTTTGGTCTTTCTTTGAGGGAAGGTCCACGTAGCCTAGGCTGAGCTTCCACTCACTATTTAGCTGGGACTGGCCTTGAACTCCTAATCTTCCTGCCTACGCCTCCTAAATGCTGGGATTAAAGGCATATACCACAGAGCTGTTTTATTGTCTCAGGCTTAAATATGTCCCTTTGCTTATGGCAGACCAAACCAGCCAGTTAGCAGAGCCAATTCAGCAGTTAAGCCAGGCCCCATTAGAATATTTGGTATCATACACACACACACACACACACACACACACACACACACACACACACACACACACACACACATCTCAATCCATTTAAGGACTTAAAAAAATCTAAGGGCTATTGTTTAAACTATTGATTTCCAAATTAACAGATGTCTAACTGATGTTAGAAAACATCAAGCACTGGGGGACCTTTTTATTGCCAGACATCCATTTACTCAGGAATCATAATAAGTGTGTATTCAAAGGTTTATGCCCTTCAAGGGGCCCACACACTGAACTTTAAATGCTTCCCTGACTATTTCCTTGTTGTTAACATTTGTAAGCTTTCTCATGAGATGATGCAAACACTTCTACAAAGCATCTCTACCCCACAGTTAGCAACCATCAGGTTACAGGAAGGATGCAGATGAATTACCAGGCTCTGGTTATAGCAGAAAGGGGCCACTTGACAGCTGTCTGGGAAATAGTGGGGAGCACTTTGCGTGGAGTTGAGCAAAGGCCCTGAGAGTGTCTCTGTCTGAAGGTAGGATTCAAAGATCTGGTCGAGGCAGCTTGGACTTTCCTCACAAGAGACACAGGTGGAAAATTCTCGGGGTTGAAAATAGCTGGGTGTGGAAGACATCGGTTCGGGTTCAAAATATAGTCCTAGAAGAGAAAGGGAAATGATTTTTTTGCTTAAAAATTGCAAAGTAGATTTCAACAGAGTTTTTTTTTTCTATTTATTATATTTAGGGGGAAGTGGTGATTGAGAAATTCCCTAAAAGTAAACAGTTTAGGAATCTGGACTGTTTTAGTTGTCTTGGGTTAACCTAAGTACCAGAGAAATGAATCTGATCAGGAAGAGGATAAGTAGCTCTCAATATGGTTAGGGAAAACTAAAAAAGGCATAGTGGCCTAGCCTGCAATTAAATGTCACATTCAAGGGGAGCACCTGCCTCCACTTTTTGGAGTATGAAAGCATTGACATCTAAACTCTGTCTGCAGCTCAGGGAGATTTCCCTGAAGCCACAGATAGATTTGGTGGGGGCTTTGGGAAACCTGGTACTATGCTCTTGACTCAGGATTGCTGCATCCCTAAACTTTTCATGTAGCAACTTAAATGGTTGAGGAGAGGGTTTTGGGAAATGACAAAAATAGTACTGCATACATGAAAACAGGAAGCTTAGAACATAGAGCACAAGTTAACAACACTTTGCTTGGAAGTAGAGAGCAAAAATGTCTTATTTGTGGACATGTTGGGAGGGGAGGGCAATGAAAAAACAAACAAACAAACAAACAACAAGCCATAGAGAGCCAAGGAGAATAATCTGACAAACATCACCCCCTTTCCATGTTATTGTGAATAGTCCCCATGTGTGATAATCAGTCTCTAAGGTTCACAGAAGAGAGGTTAGAGCCCATTAAAGGGGCTGTAGAATTCTCAGGCTCCTTTCAGGTCAAGTTAAAGTGACCCGTTTGGTGGGAACTGTCATAGGCACAGGCTTCCTTCTGTATGACCTCCTTAAAGTCTTAGCTGCATAGTGGCGTAGGAAGGAGTGTTTATGTAATGGAGTTATTCATATTGAGCTGGGGAAACTTACACTTGTTTGAACTGCTTTCTGGGAAGAGAGTAAAAAGTGGGAAGGGAGCCCCTGTCGGCTAGAAGCTAAATGAACAAGAGGAAAGGTATCATTCTGAATATTCTGACCCCAAATCATACTTCACCAAGAAAAGACAACAAACTTCTGCACAAACAAACCTTGATTTTAGAATGGAGTTGAGTTGCTTGGAGAGCAGCAACTGGGACAAATGTGAAGGACAAAATCTTGGGACAGAACAGACAGTACAGAATGAGGGCAAACTCTGTCTTTCTTCCTTTGCTGGGTTTACATCTGGAGTCACCTTCTGATTGGTTGGAGTCCAATTAAATGGTGGTGCCTCTCTTAACCCCTGAGTCAGGCTCTGAAAGGCTTCCGAGATGGACTTTTGAAAGGGGTTGAGGGAACTGTGAAGCTGGTTGTACTGACCTGCAGACGATGGCGTGCTGGAGTCTGGAAGGTGGATACTGTTGCTTCCTGACAGCTGTCAAGGCAAGAAGAGAAGCATGAAGCCTAGGGACGCGCTGGCTGCGGTTCTGGGGAAGCTGGGCAGGGGATTCTCCTGCTGGGCTGCGGTAAGCCAGACTCCGTCTTCTAAGAACATTGGACTTCTTTAAGTAAAGCTAGCATTATATTTTAGATTTGATTGTATATTTGCTTATTTGGGGATTGTTTTTTATTTCCTAACATCAGATTCCTTGCTAAAATGTTAAGTGATTAATTTTGACAAAGGTTGATGTAAAATATTTTTGTTATAGAAATATAGAACAATTCAAGAAAACTCAGCAAGCAGCCTTTCTATTAAGCAATTTATTTTATAATGAGTAAGAGTTAACATTTACTTAACCCAACTATGCCTTTAGTCACATACATTTCTTCAAAGTTGGTTTCTTGGTCTTAGGAATTCACGTCTCATAAAGAAATGAATAATAATGAGACATTGTTTCTAGATCTGTTAAATCAGGAAGCTAAAATATTCACATTTATGGCCTTTAAAAATATAAAAAAAAAAATTCTTGAAGTTGTATTCAGTGATTCAGAGCCTATAAACATTTGAGTTCAGAGCCAGAAAAATTTCAGTTCTTTGCATATTTCAAAAAATTGTTTTCTGTATAATTTGCTTTTTAAAATTACTGTATCTAAATGCTGAAAATTCCTAAGGCTGAGCCCTTCAAATACTTAAAGTGAAGCAGCTTTCCTTTTCCAGTTGAAAGGACAATTATACTAACCGAGTAATTCAGGGTTTCTTTCCTTTAGACTTCAGGTGGCATCTTTAAAGTTTAAAGGGACCAGAGAGCGCTGTTGCTCTGGGCCAGGAAGCCAAGCTCACCACACCTCTCTTGGGTTGCAGGGGAATACTCACTCCTGTTCCCTGAGCCACCTGCATGCAGCACACAGCCAGCCCCTGCTCGAATGGGAGGTGTGTTCATTTTGAAAACGATCCATGCTGTAATGTCATGAACCAGGAAGCTGGAAGCCTTTACCAGCTCTTTATGCAAATATTTGACTGCAGCTTGAGCTGAAGGACTTGGGAGGAATGGGTCTTAAAAAAAAATCTGCTTCATTGTAAGGCTGGCTTTTAACCCCTGCTTCCCCACTGCTCTGTTTGCTTCCTTGTTAGCCTGTGATTGCCAGGAGGTATGTTTACAATATCCTACTTGATATTATCTTTCTAGCTCTGGGGTTCATTTTCTACTTTGCTCCAAGAATACAAAGAATGGCGCCTCTCTCTTAGATTTCAGACAGCACACAAAACCACAATCAACAGTATATAAAAACACATCAAGGCTATTAAAAAACAAAACCAAAAACAACTAATGCTAAAAAAAAAAAAAAGAATTTTTTTATCTTTATCTTTAGATAAGTACTAACTCAAGGTTTTTTTTAACTTTAAAGGCAAAGAAGTGGTGTGTGTGTGTGTGTGTGTGTGTGTGTGTGTGTGTGTGTGTGTGTGATTTGATATGGCTGAAATAAGTTTTTAAATTAAATTTACCAGTCTGACGTGTATAGTTTCTTCTGGTACACTTGAGACCTGGATATCTACCTCAGTCTATAACTACCATTCATGACTGCTTTCTTAAAATTTTAGATACTCCTCTGACTTCATAGCAAAAAAACCAAGATAGATTTATTTTTGCTTTGCAATATTTGACACAATTAATTCTCTCCCTGGATTACTGTTTCCCAGAGATGTCTTTTAACATTGGACGAAGATGGATACAGTCTCTGTTAAACTAGGCAGGTCTGCATGGAGCAGGCACAAATTATTCTCCTCCCTTGCCGACTGGGTACACTGTTGGAGCAGCCCCAGGATCCCACATCCTTCTCATTGCTCTCAGAAAGGGATTTCACATCTGGGGCTCCTATTTCAGTGCTATGTGCCTGACTCTTGAGTGCTGGAAATGTCAGGGGTGAGTGAGAACCTCCTAGGAGGCAGTAGTGTATGTTCTTGGTAGACATGCTTCCGAAGTCCCTCTTCATTCTCAGAGGGAACCCAGAAAATGTCAAATCAGAACTCTCTCAGGAGCAGAACCTGGTCACATACTTCCTCTTACCCTCCACTCTGCAAACAAGCCCACAGTGGTCACACCAACTGTAAGGCTTGAGCAGTGACAGGATTGTTTTGCCTAAATGGGATGGTTGCTCCGGGTACAGCTGAAGCAGAGTATCAAAGCTCCTTGCTGAAAGAGTATGTTTTTAACACCTTTGTTGATTGATGTTTGTCTGCAAAAGTCCTCTCCAGCTCCCATGGCCCCAGTTTTATTAATGGAATTTTAATAATGAGGTTATTAAATTCCTGCTTAGTATGATGAGTTTAGAGAGCCAATACTAACAAAAAATATTATCTTGGCTCTGCCTTTAGCCTGTTGTCAGCTTCAAGACTTTGGATCTTAGCAATCATGGAGGACACATTTCTGGTCTATTTATGTCATCTGATCATTACAACCAAATGAAATAATGAATATACAGAAGTGCTTAAAAAACAACAACAACAACAACAACTGCGAACTCCCTTTTGCAATGCAGGGACAGTCTACAGTTCCCTGGAGTGGAGATAACTAATTTCTCTAGCTGTATGTACCAAATCATAGCAAATATCTGTGAACTCTAAGTTCTAAGCCAAAAGTATAATATACATTATTGTGTACTGGCTATCCATCCTCATTTGGAATTTATTTTAGTGATCTTTCCCAAAGAATATCCATTGTGTACTCACTGTGGGAAATACTGTAAGTACTCATTTAACCCTTTACAGCCCTATTAGCTTTCAACTGAAAAATGGAGGGAACAGACAAAAGAAAGTTAACGTGCTGGTGGATATGAGCCACAGAGTTACTGAGAACTAAACCCAGTTCCTCTGGCTCAGAAACCTATCTCACCATTCCCCCATAGCTTCTCTTCTCCTTCCCTTTCATGAAGTCCTCCTTGGAACACAGACAGCACCGCATGGAGATGGGAACCAATGGTAATTAACATATGCGATTGGAGTCCTAGCTGTCTGATCCAATTAAACTTCTTCCCAGTGGACAACCACACCTAGTGTATACGTTTCTGCAGCTGCCCTAAGTACTCTGGTAGTATATGTGAAGTGGCAGGATACCCCATGACTGCTCAGATCAGTTTTCTAATAGTTCTGTGCATTTTAGAGACAGGCTCCTTTTCTTCTGGAGACTTTCAGTGACTGGTGATTTTTCACATAAATGACCCCAGAGTCTAAGTCACAGAGAAACTAGGTGGGTTTCTGGGGGAGATTTTTCTCTGAGTGTATGGGGGCTACATCTATACTCTATGTTAATACTGTAGCCATGTACTTACCTGCTGGCTGCATTTCTCCCTTGCAGAGGACCAACATGCCTTCCACACTCAACTATGAAGAGTGAGCGATGAGCCTTCCACATCCCTGAGCCCTACACCATGTCCCACATGTTTTTGTGGCTGCCTGTGGTAACCTGGGGTGAAGCTGGGAGCAGAAGTTGTTAAGACTCCCTGAGCAGGGCTGTGCTTGTGGGTGGTCTCTCCATCTTCCCAGACACGGGGCTGAATGAGACCTACCATGGACTGGGGAGGGAGGGAGGGAGGGAGAGAGGGGGTCGTGCTTACGGTTGCCCCCGAGGTGGCCTGGTGTGCTCTTCTTTGTTGCAGGAGTTCTTTCACGGTCATCTTCACCCGGACACCTTGATACACCTTCGGTTTTTCTGGGGGAGAGGCAACCGGGTCAGCGGTCACTCCCAAAGCTTGGGTGTCAGGGGGTACAGTGAGGGTCCCGCTGATAAGGTTTGGATACCCAAGGCCAAGTTTCAACCTTTGCACAACACAAAGAGAATGCAAAAACAAAACAAAACAACAAAACAAAACAAAAACCCCTAGCTTTTGAAAACACCCACATTTCTCCAACTTGAAAAGGTGAAGACGACGCTGCTGCTTCAGGGTCTTAGTGGGGACAGTTCCCATGGGCATTTATGAAGTCATTCACCCCCCTCTGGGCCGCATCCTCAGTACAGAACAGGTTGTGCTGCTCTGGAATGTGGAGGCAGGTTCAGCAAGCCTACTATTTTGGCTAAGACCGTAAAATCTGGGGTTCTGGCTGTGCTTGTGGACCTGGGGGAGCTCTCCGATCTGCAACAGCTGACCTTACCCACCTCACCATAATAATGTTCATATTGTGAGCCCCCCCCCCCCACACACACACTGTATTCCTCCACCAGGCCAGGCATGGTTTCTTGGGAGGTACAAGCATCAGTTGTGGTGCCCATGGTCTGGAAGCCAGCACACCCCCCGCTCCCGCCCCCCCGCCCCCAGACAAGCAGTAAAGGTCTGAGCAGCCTGTCCTGACCCTTTGAGGGCCTTACTGGACTGACCCCAGAAAAGGGGCCAAGTCCAGGGGGTTTCCTCCGGTCACTCCTTTCCTTTTTTAAAAAATTCCTCTCTCTCTCTCTTTTTTTTTTTTCTCATGCCCTTTCTCCTTCCGCTCCCGGGTCGCTCTCCTCATCTCTCTTCCCATCCCCTCTCTTTCCGGGACAGGTATTTCTCGGAGAACCGGGCTGTGGAGAGTTCTCCAGCCAGAGCTGCAGCTCTAAGTAAAGGCATCCCGAGGCTCCCTAGGACCGCGCAGTCGCCTGGAGGCCGCCCTCCGGAAGGGGCCGCCCCTGAGCCCGCAGAGCTGGGCCGGGTGGCCTGGGAGAGCCCAAGTGGCCGCCGCGCTAGGCTGGGGTCCGCAGGGAGGGACCGGTGACAGCCTGGGGGCCTCCCGGCAGAGCGCAGTGAGTAGGTCTGACTGGTTGATAGGCCAAGTTAGACCGGGCAGATGCACTTTTCAAGTGGGGTTTGTCGCCGAAGCCCAGGGTGACTCCCGCCCTGACCTTGACCCTAGAGCCAGCGCTTGGGAGTCGCATGGGGAAGGGTGGAGCGCAGTGGCCCCTGGCCTGGGCGTCAGGCGACAATGCCAGGCCGCCAGCGCCTCGCCTGGTTAGTGCAGGGACCGCGGCTGGATATCAAGGAGACCCCTACCCCCAAGCCAGATCCTGAGAGCTAGGATCCTACAGGAAAGGTGCACTATTCTTCCCGATCCTGGGAATCGGATGTCCCGCCACCGTGCCAGGGCGCGCCCTCTCCGCTCCCGTCTCCTTCCCTCCCATCCCCACTGCCTGGCTCGGCTCCGGGATCTGCAGGCAGCGGGCGCGCCTTGGGGTCCACGCGGAGACAGCCCCAGCCTAGCTCCCTGCCGGATGCGTCCTTGCTCCAGTCCCGGGCTCACCGTGAGCCTCTAGCTCCCCCCGCCGCCGCTTCTTGGCGCACCAGATCGGCGTCTCCAATTCCCAGGACGCCAAGGTGGAAAAGAGAAGGGGCAGGCAGGGGCCTGGGGTACGCGATTGTCCGGGACAGTCAGATGGGCCTCTGGGCCTCTGGGCCTCTGCCCTTACCCAGCGGGAGCCGACCCAGCGGGCCCGCGCCCTCTCTGGATCCTTGCCCGGCCCTGACTATCCTGCTCTGACTTTGTGACTCTCTGTTATGCGCAGGAAAAGCAGAGAAATACACCCGGATCCAAGTGCCCCTGGCCCTCATGACCCGACCCCTGGAGAAGCAGCCGAGTTACCCGACATCGTGGTCAGCAGGAGCTGGGCTGGAGACTGGATGCTGCAGCTTCAGAGACTTAGCACCTAGGAGGGCTCCTGTGCAGGGAGAAAGGCAGAGATGCGACATTTTTAAAGTTTCACAAAACACGAGGCAGCACCCAGGTCCCTGGAGCAGGAGACACACAGAATTAATGTTTTATACCTTCGGGTATAGGTTTGAGTTTTTTCCCCCTCATGCCAAGTATTTAAAACCTCTAGAAACCCATGATTTGACAATCAATGATTGCGCGATACTTTCAATTTGAATATTCAAAGGCTTAACAAAATGGACTATCTTCTGCAGAAATCCTGCACACAGGCACCTCACAGGGAGTCCAGAGAAACAGGGAGCGAGATGCCTTTGGGTCCTGACCCTTGCTTTTCTCCTATTTTAAACATTTTGTCCACCTTCCCACAGACAGAGCAGGTGTCCTCAAAGATGCTTCATGTCCCTGCCTCAAAGGCAGCTCAGGAGCCCCCACTGACCTAGGCTGCTCCTCGGGGATCACCCGAGCCAGGCTGGCTAGCCACAAGGATTCTCACTTGTCCAATCTCCATTTTAAGGGAGAAATCTCAGATTTGGGGAGTGAACATGGCAGCCAGTGGGTGTGGCACAGCAAAAGGCCACTCTGGGCCCAGGTTGCAGGCCAGAGGACAGCAGAGGCCTAAGCTTTGCATTTTGTGTTCCTCTGGCCCGGCCTGGTCACCTGTGGGCTTCCCTCCCTGTCCATCTTCCCTCCTGCTAGGCCACAGATACTGGGCTGCCAGCAAACAGTCCCTGGGCATCAACACTCATTTGGCTGCTCAGAGAGCTGTGAGTCATCACTACTGCCCTGGACCGTCTGAGATTTCTCTAGGTGGGGATTCCATCACCGTGCTGTGGCAATCCATATTCTTTTTTCCCCCCTTCTTCCTCTGCACCCCAGTCTTTTTGCCTCATAGCACCCCTGCTTGTTTGAGAGAAGGTTGTGGGGTTTGTTTTTAAGGCTCTGAGGAGAGAGGTAGGGGGATTCGGAGCCAAGCTGCCTCATTGGACCCCTCATAAGTGACTCGAGTCTGTGGTGATGCACATTTTCCAAGGACTGCCTGAGATGCTCTCTAGCCTGTGACTTGAAAGATGGGAGAGACTGGGGTGCTGTAGAATGCCAGGCCAAATCATCACAGAGAGACAGAAGGGTCCCCGTTGTAAATAACTAGATATTTCCAGGAATGCAGATAAAGTGATAGTACAGGTCTCTAGTCTTTAATCCCTGAGTTCTCTGAAATGAAAAAAATATATATATAAGCTTTAGCTTCAAAGATCTTTAGAAAAATATCCAAAAAATTAAAATGTATCAAATATAGTATATTAGATACAGGGTATAACAAACAGCTCAGCTAAAGGGTCTCTGGGGATGATAAAAGCATGATGGGTAGGTAGAACTGTCTGTCAGGCAGGTGGGGCGTCACTTATCTGGGAGAAGGTCAGGGCTGGGGACACAGCGGTTGCATCTGTGGTGGAGGGTAGAGTGAGGTGCAGCTGTATTTGGTCCAGCTGCTGTTTATCAGCCACTGGAGCCTATTTCTGCCAGGCCAGGCCTAAGGACCCGACCAGGGAAGGACCCCAGGATCTGAGAGGAACCCCCTCCCTGTACCACTTCCTCCTCTCCACAGATTTTCCCATTACTTCTTTTCTCCTTTTGGTCTTGGTCTTACTTTTGGTTTGTTTTTAAGAAGTTTTTTTGCTGGGTGGTGGTGGCGCACAGACTTTAATCCCAGCACTCAGGAGGCAGAGCCAGGCGGTTCACTGTGAGTTAGAGGCCAGCCTGATCTCCAAAGCGAGTTCCAGGAAAGGTGCAAAGCTACACAGAGAAACCCTGTCTCTAAAAACCAAAAAAAAAAAAAAAAAAAGGTTTCCTCTTTTTGGTTGTTGTTTACTCTCATGTACGTTTTCTATTTCTTGTTTTTCCTATTGATGTGTTTCTTCATTTGCTGTCTTCACTCTTTTCTCCTCTCTTGGGCTCTCTATGTGCCTCTCTTTCCCCTGTTCTGGAGTGATGTCTCATTCTTTCTGACTAAATATTCTTCCTCAGTTCTGCACTCACACAGAAATGGGCCAGGGTGGCCTGAGGTCACAGTTTTCCCTTGGCAACATCAAGGACATTGATGCTGGTGACGGGTCCTCCAGAGAGAACATAGGCTGGAAGGTGCAGGCTCCTTTGATGCCTGGGGTCTACAGAGACAACAAAGAGCAAAGACATCTGCATCTTTCCTCCCAGAAGCCTTTGCCTGACCTGAGCCGTGGCTCAAGTCCTGGGGCATCTGTATGCTGGTGCTGTTGCCGAGAGTGAGAGTGTGGTGCTGTTGCTGCTAGGCAACTACAGAAAACTATCCCCCCAGGCCTGCTTTCAGAATCTTCCCCCTGCCATCCATACTACAGGTCAACCCAACATTAAGGAGTTTTGATTCTGGCTCTTGTAACCGAAAAGCCTCGGGAACAGACATTTCAGAGCCAAAAGCCATGTTTGAGGAGTCAAGAGACAATACTTTCTCAGTGGAGCTCCCTTTCATCTGTCTCTGTCTCTGTCTCTGTCTCTCTCTCTCTTTCTGTGTGTGTGTGTGTGTTGATGATGATGATACCTAGAGCAACCAGCCATTGTTCTTTTTTTTTTCCCCTGAGATTCCAAATGACTATAGAACTGGGTACCCTTCTTGTTTGCTTGCTCATTCATTCATTCATTCATTCATTCATTCATTCATTCATTCATTCATTCATTTTTGTGTTGAGATAGAATCCAGGGCATGCTGGATTAGCACTCTACAACTGAACTACATTCTCAGCCCATACAGAGTTATTTAAAGTTCTCATCTGTTGTTTCCTGGGCATTAGACCTGTGCTGTGAGATAGTCCCACTGTACAGCTGAAGAAGTCAACTTAGAGAATGTTCTGAAAACACAGAACCCTGAAGAAGCAACTGGCTAGAGGTGAAGACAAGCTGTTCATTCTGCTGACTGTGGTTTGTGTGTCTGACCAGGACCCTCTTCCTGGGGGATTGTTGCTTTTAGGATACCTCCCCTGAGATTCCAACAATCCTTTTGGGGTTGTAATAATAATAAAAAAAACACCCCCAAATTGTGGAGTCTGACATGCTGTCACAGGCTCCTTTGCTTATAACACAGTATCTTGATGTTGAGTGTTGGAAGGATCTTGACATGCTGAGAGGGACTGACATTTTAGCTAGTGGCTGTCTAGCTTGTAGCTCCATGGCTGGATCAGAGAATAATCTGTGTGGAGGAGATGGGTCTCACTATTTGTGAGGCAGATTTTGCCATTTTTGGAATCCTTTAAAGATAGTGATCCATAATCCAACTAGGTGTTCCTTGAGCACCAGGTATATACCAGGCAGGGCAATGAGTACCAGGAATACAAAGATAAGTAAGCCCTGGTTTCTGCCAGCAACGGCTCTGTTCTCCATGTGCGCATTACCGCTTTCCTATTGTGGGTTCATTCACAGATTCATTCACCATTTATTCAACAACCATATGTTGATTGCTCTGACCAGTCCAGTGCTTGCTTTCCACTCAAACCTTCTTTCCTTAAAGCCACTGTTCATAGTTTCCCCCCTTCTTCATAAATCAGCTTTTTGGACCTCTGTCTTTCCACGTCACAAGGTCAGAAATCCTTTAGTTCATCCCTGGCCTCCGTAAAGCCAGCCAGCAGAACCTGGAGTGGGTAGAATGGATGTTTTTAATGGGGAAAGTTTTTAACTGAAATTATTGACGGTCTTTTGTGTGCAAATGACACAGCACAGCATCATGCTTTTCCCTCCCACGCAGGTTTTATCAAACATAGACATGCACATGTTAGAAGGTCTGCAGCACAAGGAAAGTTTATTCCTTTCCAATTTGACTACAGCCCTTTAGTAATGCAAAGTTCTTTTGTCACCTTGACTTTGGGACACTGTTACCGAATGTTGTGGGAAATATCGAGTTCCAAAATGTTGAGTACGTGGAGGAAACAAGTGTTCATTGGTGTATCATAGGATACACATTTGGTCCATGTGAAAATGACCAGGAAGGCTAGTAGATGGAGGTTATGTAAGATTTTGTACACAGTCAATTTCTCCTCGTAGTGTACATTCAGAATTTAGACTTTCCTTTAAGAAAAGCTTATGATGAATCAGCCCTTGATTATTTATTACTAGGCAAAAAAAAATACCATAATATACTGCTTGAAAAGTTTCTGTTTTACTTAAAACATTTTTTATTGTGCCATATTTCTAACATATAAAAGTGTATAGAGAATACTGTCATGAAAACCTGTGAATATATCACCATGGTTGAGGACTGAAATGGCTGAGTGATCATACATTTATGAATTACTAAGCATTAGAATTTCTGGATTATTCCACTCAAGATATTTGGTTGGGGGAAAAGTTTCTTAATGTAAAAGATCTAATACCTTGCTACTATTTGTTTGGTCTACAGTTTTGCCTTTTGGAATGTGTAACTTTTTTCCTGTTCTATCTTGTAATCTACTCACAATGCATTGCATTTTGCAAATTTATATGTCTTCTTTTATTAGAGGTTATTGTTAAAAATACATATGTCTCACATATCTAATAAAACATGATGCCAATGTTTGAAAATGAGTATAGTAAAATGTATTATTGTTTAGTTTGGCCCTGAGAGATTATAGTTTCTGACTTATTGTGCTCGCTTTAATCATACCAGAGATATTAAACCCCAAAATAACTAACTTATATGTCTTTTTAGAAATATCTCATAGCACACACAGTTATAAAATGATACACCAATATATTTTGTACTACTTCAGAAGTTCATAAACTTTCCTTCTTGAAGATATTTTAAGATACTTAATCAGCCATCTTAAGAATTTGCCCACAAACGCTTACTATTCATCTATGGTCAACTTGTTTTAGAGAGCTGTCCTCTACAGGGTCAGGGGCTAAAGAGCTGTCCATCTTTGTGGTGGTCTTAGTTCAACCTAAGAAGGGTCTACTGAGCACCTACAACATGCTGGCCCTAAGCCAGGTGCTAGGGATGCAAGGTGAGCCAGGAGTCCTCCACCCCCTTGAGTCTTTACCTAGATAATCCCTCTTTATCTAGAGTATAGGAGTTTTCACTTTGTCTTTCTTAAGTCCACAGTTAGTGAATATGTTGTATAAGATGAACAATGTAACAATGGAGAGGGCACTTTAGACAGAGCCCAGTTGTTGGACCGAAAGTTAATTTTGGTGAGTCACTAAAATATCATTAGAATACAGTGTGACTTAAACCCCATCAGTTACTATTTTGGTACTTTAAATATAAGTGGTTTTATTCCTGACTATATATCTATATTTACATATAGAAAAAGTAGATATTCAGATACTCTTCTGTGGATACACATCTCTATATGCAAGCACATATCTTACTGTTGAGGTTAGTTTTCCCCTTTGTGGACTTTTCCCTTTGTGGACTTTCTTTTGGGGGCACTTCAGTCCTACCATGCTATTGCATTATTAACTCATCCGTGGAAAGTCATAATGATCATTTAAAAGGACTTACTAAATAAACAAAGTAAAGATGTGGTTTTCTGCTCTCATTCTTTGGGGTTTGAATTACATTGTAAGAGAAATACAAACACTTTCAACAACATGCTGTGTCTGTTTCCAGTGATTCATGGGGTGATTCTCTACAATGCAGGTTTTGCATGGGCAGATTTTAAATTTCACTTAACAACTTTTATTCTATGCATTTTTTATTTGTGTGTGGGGTGTGTGCATGCAGGGTGTGTGCATGTCACAGTACATGTGTGGAGGTCAGAGACTACCTTCTAGGAGTCCGTTCTTTCCTTCTACCATGGCGGACCTGGGGTTAGAACTCAGGTCACCAGGCTTCACTTGCTAAGCCTTATTGCTGGTCCTTAAGTTTCACCTTTGACTTCTGGTATTTTCTTAAATAGGTTGAACTTCACATCACCATTTTTACCTATTTAAAACATGCATATGTCCTTAGTCCTGGCAATAGCCCAAAAGAGTTGGCATTATTAGCTGAGGCTCATAGTTTTCCTTGGTTCTTTCGTGAGAGGCAATGAGTCAGAAGATGTCAGGTTTGAGGCAGGAGAGAGAGAAGAATGCATTTTTTCCCATATTATGGTATTGTGCAAGCAAAGGTGTGGTTAATAGCCACATGCTGAATAGGAAATGGTGTAGGGAAGTGTGATTAATCTCCCTGCCGTAACTTTGTAGTTTGTTTCCATTTTTTTAATAAGACATTTCCAGAACAATAAAACAGGACCAAATTAGAATATGTGAAAGAGACACACATCGGCCAAACAAAATCCTGAAAGCCATTTACTACTTGGAATTGATGAGCCTGATTCTGACTCACTCCCATTTCCTGTGGGCCAGGCAGCTGAAATGGATAATAGACCGAGTGTGGGCTGTATAGGTCTCCCTTGTTACACACTAACCTTGTGGACACTGAACCAAGTTAGGCACTTTAAGAAGGATGTAGACACCTTTATGTGCTCTGTTTTCCTCTGTGTTTCAAGGCCTGAATCATTTGAGAACCAATATGTCTTCAGAGTACTACAAGATCAGTGAACATGATGTTTGAGTAGATGAATACAAAGTGAGCCATGATGATGAACATTGAACATAATAACCAAACAAATATTAAAATTATGAGGATACATACGTATATATAATTTACAGAAACTTCAATTTTCTACTACTACTACTTAGTAACTTATCCTGGTGAGTACTATATAACTATAGTTATTAAAAAGTTTACACAGCCAGTCTACAAAACTGACTCTGGGGCCCTCAACTACAGAGATGTAGATCCCTAATCTACAGCGGACCTAGATCTCTTCTTTCTGGTGTGGGGCCTGATGCTCAGTTTTGAGTAACAGTTGGATGACAGAAGGTTTTTCTAAAGCTACTGGGAACCACAACAGAGGTCTTAAGTGGAAGAAGACTTCAGAAGAAGACTACACCTCTGCTGTAGCGGATGTTGCCAGTGTTCCCCAGTGAGCACACGCTGAGCAGAATAGAGCCC